TATTTATAAAGCGGTTATTTATAAAGCGGTTATTTATAAAGCGGTTATTTATAAAGCGGTTATTTATAAAGCGTTATTTATAAAGCGTTATTTATAAAGTGGTTATTTATAAAACGGTTATTTATAAAGTTGTACTTTTTCAGATTTAACAGACACATTATGTGTGTTATCACAAAGTATCAGTATCGGATCAGTATCGCTGATACCAGACAAATTTTATTTGGTATCAGTATCATAAAGAAAACTGGCAGTATCGAACATTATTAATTTAAACTTAATTGAAACGTTTAGGCGACATTCATTTTCATTATTGTGTTAGATATGTACAGGGTTCCTGCAGATCCTTAAAAAGTCTTAAAAGTCATTGAATTCATCAATCCAAAAATAAGGCCTTAAGCAGCCTTAAAATGTCTTAAATCAATCTTTCAGAAGTCTTAAAAATGTAAACACATTGTAAATAGGATCATTTTAATTCATCTCAAATATTAAAATAATTGGTAACATTTATTTTTTTTAAATATTCCCCTTTGACATCACTTCCTGTTAGTTAGATGCAAAAATCTCAACTGTCCATCTGAGCAATGTGAAATTTGTTTTGTAATATGTTAATAATATTGTCTTTTCAAAAATACATTCACTTTTCTCACAAATGTTGATGTCACRGGCACTTTAAGGTTTCATCTACAGCAAATTGGGCTTAAGACCCCACTGTGGGTCCTAAAACTCCCAATTTTGGGTCGTTAAACTGCTAAGAATGTTTTTGCTTTATTTGACAAAAAACAGGTAGATATTGATAAAAACAATTGGTCTATTAGCAATATTTGAATACTTCAACCAAAAATACTTTGATTCATGAGTTTCTGCCACATTTTTATTTTTTGTCATTTCTGTTTATTATGAAATTGGTCTTAAATTTAATTTCAGTTGGCATTAAAAAGTCTTAAATTTAACTTGCTTTAAACTGTAGGAACCCTGATGTGTATTTTCAAACAAAACTAGTTATTTAAGTTGCATTTAAGTGTAACTTAAAACTCTCTTCTTGTGCAGCGATTTGCCTGCCGGGGTGCGATGAGGAACATGGCTACTGTGAAAAACCTGGGGAGTGCAAGTAAGTTGTTTTTTTTTTCCCAGTTCACTGAAGTATTAATCAAACAGTGGGATACATGAGGTAATGTGAGTGGACTGAACAGTGTGTTTCCTTCTAATTGAACAACAACAGGTGCAGAGTAGGATTCAAAGGCCGCTACTGTGACGAGTGCATCCGTTACCCTGGCTGTCTCCACGGGACCTGCCAGCAGCCCTGGCAGTGCAACTGTCAGGAGGGCTGGGGGGGGCTCTTCTGCAACCAAGGTGAGGAAAGAGTCTGAAAATGAAACAGAAGTAATGACGGCAGACAGAAAGTGGACAGGGGTGGGGAGGGGTAGCTCTGGTTTGTTGGTTGATAGACGTTTTGAAGTGCTGGAGTTGATTTAGCCTCCTAAAAACAACATGTCTGAGTGTGTTGGAGCATTAAAAAAAGAGCAGATGTCTTCTAGGCGTTGTCTGAAAGTTGACCAGTAAAACTTGGTGAGACATCAAGTGAGCAACACAAAATCTAAAGTTTGAGTAAAAGTAAGGTCAAAGCACACGTGAAGGAAAGATGTAGTTGGATAAACTAAAGGACAAAAGACATTCTGTCGCTCTGCCATGTGTTACACTGAGGCTAATCCACATGTGCCTGCTACAGATCTCAACTACTGCACTCACCACAAGCCTTGTATGAATGGAGCCACTTGTAGCAACACTGGTCAAGGCAGCTACACCTGTTCCTGCAGGCCGGGCTTCACTGGAGCCAGCTGTGAGATCAAGGTCAATGGATGTGCTGGAAACCCCTGCCGCAATGGAGGAAGCTGTACCGTAAGTGTGCCTGCCAAAAAAACCATACATAATTTATGATGAAAGTCTGAATGCTTCTGGTATCATTGCAACATTTCTTCATCTAGTCTGATCTTTATCTGATACTAGCCAGTTCTTTCAGGCAGATAAAAACATAAAAAAGCTGATACAAAAGTAAAACAAATCCAGATGTCAAACCTGATCTACTTTTATTGCCTTGCACACATATGGAGGCAATTTTGTATTTTTATTATTCAATCAAACAAAAACGCAGTTTCAATTAAAAAAATAATTTCAACGAAACAAAAAGTAATTTTAATCAAAAAATTTAAATCAAAAAGTTTTTCTTTGGTTGAATCTCAAACTTTTATGCCCTAAGTTTTTGGTTGAACTCAAAGTTTTGCTGTCAGAAAACATGAACATCTGGGGCGGGGTCTAAAGCCTGAAACATACTCGCTCCGACGTTGACGGGTCGATGCGCGGTCTCGTGGTTGTTCGGCAGTCGTTTTCGCACAGACCTTTCATGGTCCCTATGACACCTCTGTGCCGAGTTTGGGAACCCCCCCCCCCCCCCCCCCGAACCATACGTCACTGCATGGAATCCCCCGTAAGAGCCGATAATGCAGAAAAAACAAGTCAGACTCGTCACTCACTCGAAGTATTTATCCACATCTGTCCTGGTTAAAGCTCCACAGTTTTTATCAGTCAGATTCCTCCGTGCACAACGTCTGTTTTATTCCACTCGAGTTTCTCACGGAATGACTATCTTTATAAAACTCTACTTCCTGGTGTCGACTCTGGGAGTGAGTCGGGGTTTTTCCCCTCTTTTTTTTACAGAGTGCAGCAGCACATTCAGCACAAACAAACAAGCCATAAGTTTTTCACGGTTTGACTATTTTATAAAACTCTGCTTTCTAGTCTTGTGAGCGAGTCGTTCTTTTTTCTTTATTTTTTCCAAGCGCAGCACAAACAAACACGCCCACGACCAATCAGGCCAATCACACATTACCGTCAACATGGGACGGGGGGTCTAAAAGTTCTGCCGGTGGGTTGTGCCAAAAGGGGCTGTCGACACGACGCTGAGAAGCCCAGTGACGTAATTTTCATCATTAAACTGCGACAACCCGTGCCGATGTCGGCAGTTCGCAGCGAGTATGCTTCAGGATTAAAGCTTGGTTTATACTTCGAGTCACATGTCTAGTTCCCCCTGCTGAATGACAAAAAACTGCGCACCTTCTGTCTGCTCTCCCCCGGTGACAAATGTCTTGTGCATTGCCCCCAGTCAGAACTGTAAGATGCAGACCTCGCAGCTCGGAGTGTGTGATTGATTTGAACTTTGTTGGTGTGTTTGTTCATGAGGAGCACCGCAGCACTCTGATCAGCTCTGCCTTCTGCAGCATATTTTGTTTAAAATATTTTTTTTTCTGAAGCCAGTTGTTAGGAGCTCTTCTGCAGTCTGTTTTTCACCCAACACGACGCTGATCATTGAGTGATAGATAATAAACAACACAGAATCCAGCCATCTTTATTGCTGTTTATGTACTTATTCAATTCAATTCAGTTCAGTTTATTTATACAACGCCAAGTCCCAACATACGTTGTCTCAGGACACTGTAGATAAAAAGAACAATGTAAAGAATTTAGCAGCAGATTGTGTTGAATCACTTCATCACAGTCTCCCATCCTGAGCAAACGGTGGAGAGGAAAAACTCCCTGCTAATCAGGAAGAAACCTCCAGCAGAACCAGGCTCAGGACAGGTACTGCAGCAAAGTAAATTTACGTTGTTACACCTCTAAAACCACGTTCACTTTTGCTAGAGGCACACTATTGTACGTCCACAAACGAGCAGCAAACCAAGGGGGCGGAGCAAGCTGTCTGTCAATCATTCTGTACCACAAAACATATTAAAACGAAGGGGCTGTGTAACGTTAGCCCTTTGAAAAGACTCGGATCTCTTCCACACAGTTTGGCACAAATTTATAAAC